TTGTCCCTGAACAGGTGCGCCTGCTGGCGGAGCACATTGAGGAGCTGCTAAGGACTGGGGCGGACGAAGAGGAGGAGGAGGAGGTGGAGAACCTAAATGATGAGAACAACAACACTGGCAACGGCTGTCAAGGACATCAGGCGCCGGTGAAGCCGAACGAGGCGACGGTGCTGCGCGTGAAGGCCACCCTGTGGGCGCTGGGCCACCTCTGCACCAGCGAAACGGGCCTCGCATTTGTCCTCGACCGGCCGGAGCCGGTGCTGCAGTGGATGGCCGCTCTCAGTCGGCACTGTCCGGTGCTGTCGCTGCGGGGCACCACCTTCTACGTCCTCTGTCTGGTGGCCTCCACTCGGCGAGGCTGTCAGCTGCTGGCCGACTTTGGCTGGACGGCCATTCAGCACTCGCACGACGAGCTCTTTCCCATCAATCAGACCGAGTACGACAACTTCTACTACAATGGGCGGCCGCGTTTCATGTCCGCCGACTCGGAGGGAAAGGCAACCTCCGCTTCACTTCACGATGAAAAGGAGTCCTCTTCAGCTCTGCGCTCTCCACTGCTGCTCAACGCTGATGGCACCGCTCTCACCGCCCCTTCTACGCCCTTCTTTCATGTAGATGATGTTGGAGGTGGTGGTACAGGTGGTGATCCGACAATCAACCCACTGTCGCGGCCTTTCAGTCAGAGCAGCAGTCGAAGCAGCAGCAGTAGTTACCTTTCGATGCACGCACATCAACAACAGCAGCAGAGCGGTAATTCGGCAAAGCAAGTGGTGGAGAAGAGTGCTGGTGGTGGTGGTGGTGGTAAGGCAACGGAAGACACTGAGAAAAAGCAGCAGCAGCACCAGCAGCAGCGAACCTTCACCCTTTCCTCTTCGTCCTCCTCAGCGTCCATCTACTCGCACACCTCTTCGGTGGGCAATTTGGTTTCGCATCCGTCGGGGGTGAACGCCTCAGGCAGTGCAGCTACCCCCGTCAGCTACAATCGCCCACGATCTTCCTCTGACTGCGTGCCGACGGCCGTCTCCTCGGCTGGCAGACTTTCGCAGAAACCTGACGGCCAGGACAGCGGCATTCTGGAGAACCACCCGAATGGCAACTCAAAGACTAGTCTCTCAAAGGTGGACGAGTGTCCGGAGGACAATAGCGCTAATAATAGCAACACCACCACCAACGGCAGCAGCACCTTCAACCGAAGTCCGCTGCCGCCCGTCCCAGCGCCTCGAAGTCGGAAGATCAGCGCGCCCTGTCTGAATGCGCCCACTCCACAGAGCTCATCTGTGGTGATGATTGGGGAGACGTCCAACACCACTACTAGTCGGGAGACGANAGTCGGAAGATCAGCGCGCCCTGTTTGAACGCTCACATTTCGGCTGTGAACTCATCTGTGGTGATGATTGGAGAGACGTCCAACACCACTACTAGTCGTGAAACGAGAAGTGACAGCAACGACAGCTCGCGAACGGCCAACACTGCCCCCAGCTACCACAGCAGCGGCAGCACCAGNGGGAGACGTCCAACACCACTACTAGTCGGGAGACGAGAAGTGACAGCAACGACAGCTCGCGAACGGCCAACACTGGCCCCAGCTACCACAGCAGCGGCAGCACCAGTACCAGCACCGGCACGGGCAGTCGCTCGACCAGCTTTGCCGAGTACTCCACNGCTACCACAGCAGCGGCAGCACCAGCACCGGCACGGGCAGTCGCTCCACCAGCTTTGCCGAGTACTCCACCACCACCTCGAGCAGTAGTGGCAGTCACATCTTGGAGGCGGTGCCACTACAGCCGCCGCCGACATCTATGGCAGCTATGGCGACATCAACGCCTCTGGTAAAGGGCGATCGCAATGTTAGCTTCTCGCCTGATTCGGCGGCGGCGGCGACCACTCTGGAGGGAGCACACACCACCGCCGCCACCACTGACCAGACTGTGGCCACCGTCCAGCGACAGGGCAGCAAAAGTCTGGACGGACCGTCTTTTGCCCTGCGTGGAGCCCTCTCGTCGTCGTCGAGCTGTCGTCGAACTGAACCCCGTCAGGTGCCCTCCCGGCAGCTCTCGCTGATGGCCAACGCCTACAACCACTACCACCACCAGCAGCAACACCTCGCCGACGACCCCTATCCGAGTCCGGTGGACGCGCACGGGTACGCCCAGCTGCAGGCCATTCAGCGGCGACGGGTGCAGTCCCTCTCGGGGAACATGTTCTTCAGCGGCCTGGTGGGCGTCGCCGCCGCCGCCAGTGTGTCACCGGTGCAGCCGTCGGCGATGGAGCTGCTGCAGATGACTGGCTCGTCAGCATTTGAGCAGCAGTCTTCCCCGGGTGGTAGTGGTGGTGGTGTGCTGTTGAGGAGGCCACACTCGGGTAGCGTCAAGAGCGCCGGGGACGCTGTGGCTGGGGAGGCAATGCCCGAGATACTGATCACCGACTCGAACAACAGCAGCAGTGCTGGTGGTGGAGGAGGAGGGCGACAGCGCAAGATCTCCCACGGCTCACTGCCCTCGAACAGCAGTCCGGTCTGTGGAGAGGTGGATCATCTGGTGAAGCGAATGCTCCGAATTCCCAGCTCCAACTCTATTGAACAGGACAATAGCGGCAGTTTCCAGACATCGCAGCAGCAGCAGCAGCCATTTCAGCGTCTATATTACAATCGCACCAACTCTCGCGTCTCCAAAGGCGGCTCCTTCAACTCGGTGGACAGCAGCAGCAATGGCACGCAGTTGGGTGGACTCGATGGACTGTCCCTCGGTGGAGACAGCTTCGCCAGCTTCGGCGGCGGCGGAAGAAGCGAGCGGACGCAGTTTATGTGCCTTTGTCTTCCTGACTGTCTATCGCTCATCTTTCACATTGATGAGGTTTGTCTATCTTTTTTGTCTTTGTCGAAGTTTTACAACTTTGTTTTCTATTTACAATTTTTAGGACACTGTCTCTACTCCAAAGCCGAAAAAGGTTCAATTTTCCAGCCAACTCAAGCAAACGAAAATTTCAAACAGTGGTGAATACCGCAAGTCAAAGAGCAAATCTTCAGCTGGACTTCGTTCTTGTATCTCCTCTCAGGTGACACCGAGCACGCCTGAAAAGGCAAAAGAAGATGGTCTTGACTTGCACAGCAGCCTAAAGTGCATTCGCTGCTGCGTGAAGCTGCGAAGTGCGGAACACTTGCGCCGAGAAATGGCCAAATCACCGCAGGTTTTTCTAAAGAGTACTGGTAAGTGTTTTCTGATTTTATGCGTACAATTTGATTTAATCAAACCATCTACTCTCTCTAGAACCTGAAAATGATGCAGCACCAGCATCAGAAGAGAACAGCAACACTCAGAATCACCATCATCATCACCGAAAATTGGAAGGCTCCCCCTCTTCAGGAAATAGAACACCTCGTCACAGTGTGACCTCAACCACAGCTGGCACCAGCAACAGCAGCACCGTTTCTACGGCTACCATTTACCAACGTAAAGAGGTGCTCCGTTTGGTGTTCAACCTCAGCGGGGCCATGTACGCTAGAACGGCCGAACAAGGACTGCTCATGTGAGTTGGGTTTTCAATTTATTTGAAGTTCACTTTTGCTCACTTAATTTTTCTTCTT